CATAGTGTTACATAACACTTGTACATCATAGTGTTACATAACACTTGTACATCATAGTGTTACATAACACTTGTACATATACAATATAGTGTTACATAGCACACCTGTACATATACATTATAGTTACATAGCACACTTGTACATATACATTATAGTTACATAGCACACTTGTACATATACAATAGTGTTACATAGCACACTTGTACATATACATTACAGTGTTACATAACACTTGTACATATACATTACAGTGTTACATAACACTTGCACATGTACATCACATTATCAAACTGAAGATTAGGTTTAAGTTTGATGATAGTTTGTCTTCAGCCTGTAGTTTATGAAACTTATAAGAACCCTGCACACATACAAATGTAGGAAAACTATTGTGTTTTTATTCACCTTTTCAGTTCTTTCCAAATTCTCCACACCATCAGGCTTAGTGATTTTTCTTCCCGTTACATAACGGTTGGGGTCAGGGTACAACTTATCTGTTATTAGAGAATAAATATGTAATAAGTGGTTTTACATTTACCAACGCATTCCATCGATCTTTTTCTTCTTCTCGTACTGAAAATGCTTAGTCAAACTGCACAAAACTTAGTAAAAAACTTGTTAAATAGTGTCCAGTTCTGGATTAAGAATATCATAAAACTTGATTTATTTTTCTATCTTTTTATATATTGTGAAACTTCCAAAATCTTGTTATAAAACATAAAAATACTTATTTTCATCCTAGAATTTAAATGTTTACTGATCAGAAAATTATATTTTATATACAAAACCAGTTTCAACTTTATTAATATTCGCTGTTTCTTTCAATACTTTATTTTCCCAACTGCAGTATTCACCACTGTTGACTTTAAAACATAAACATGGCAAAAATTAATCAGTGACATACATCCTCATCTGTCACAATAGCATCAAGTCAGGCTAGGTACCAATATTTTAGCTCAAAATTTTACTGGTTGAGGTCAAGTTATATTTAATAAATAATACGTTGTTTGAACATGATATGCATAAGTATAATATTCCATAAACAAGGCTTATGTTCCTCAAAATATTTTGCCATCACCTACCATACTCTCTAAGCCTAACAAGGCTTACCTGATGTCTTGTTATAGAATGAAATTTACATAATTCAAAAAAATATAATATATCATAAAAACCTTTTCATTCCCAGATTTGTGATTTGTTCTTTAGTCTTCTAAGCTTTCCACAAAATTTTTTGTTGTACTGTGCAGGAGCTACAACTAATCAATTTTCCTCAAAATCATATATTAGAAAGGTATAAATCTACCTCATATCCTGTGATTTGGTAATAACCTCATAATGCTCTGGTCATTACAAGGCTCACTGGAAGAGTTTCATTCATTCACACAACATTAATTTAAATAGTTTATAACCTGCTCTATCCAATGGTATTTAAGCTTTACTTATAGCTATTTTCAAAGCTGAGTTTTATTGGTAGTTGTTCACATCACATACTGTGAGGTCATAAAAGGGTGGGAAAAAGCCACACTATCAAAATTATAGAAGAAAAAAGAAATCACGTGAGAAAGAAAATATCTTTAAAGGAGTTATTTTCTTAGCAAATGTAAACCTAAGCTTTGGGATGAACAGAAAAATTCTAGAAAATTAATGAGTGTGTTGTTTATAGGCAAAACTCTTTAGAGCTGCAAATAAACATAAATTTGAATTTTAAAAAAAATTTTCTTAACAAGTTACACTAAATAAATATTACAAAATATCAATTATCAAATATTTTTGAAATAGTTAGAATTACCATTTTATTTAAATTTTGAAATCTAATATGTAGTTGTATAATCGACACCTGAAAGGTGCGGTCTATATGAATACGGTGAATAGCACTGAAGTGACATAGCTGACATTTTGTAAAGCACCAAACTACATACACAACAAGCACAGATCTGATACACCAGGATTAGAAACGAGTAAATTTGACACCAGTTTCAGTGGCGGATCCAGAATTTTGATGATTCTGAACATAAACGAGGAATTTTTGGGACTTCCTTGGTAGGGGTTAAATATGCTATTTAGATTTGTTATAATGTTTGCTAGGTGTTAATAATGCTTGGAGATGGCTTGAATGGGTAATGAAGAAAAACTTTCATATAAGTTTA